GCACTGTGGGATGGTGTGCCCTACCTCATCCTGGATTGGGCTGCAGAAGTGAAGTGAAACATGGGATGTTTAACTCTTTGTGGCTCAGCCCTGCCTGCCTGCATGTGTTACCCATAAGCAGATTGCAAGCAGTGGGACAGATGCTGTCACTTCATGCTGTCTCCAGGGGTAGGGAAGGAGGCTGGCACCAGGGCTGCGATGCTGAAGTCCTCTCTAGAGCACAGGGGCTTTCCCACTGCTGTCTGCTCATAGGGTCTGGATTCCGGGTGTGAGACAAGAGCCCTGCCTCTGAGTCAGTTTTCTAGGACCTATCTCAGCTTGGCTGGATCCTGGATGTCACCTTCATCAGGGCTGAGTGGCCCAGGTCTGGCCTGAATCCCTCCCCTGGGACAGTGCTCTCTGTTTCCAGGTGGTGGAGACATCACTGCACCAGCTTCCTTGCGCATCCCCTTCCTCTAACTCATAGAAAATTAGGGCTGGAAGGGACCTTGGGCAGTCTAGTCCAACCCCCTGTTCCAAGCAGGACCATCTCCAGGTATCTCACCCCAGCCAAGCCTTTGTCTGCCTGGGTCTTCTAAACCTCCAAGGATGGAGGTTCCACCGCCTCTTCGGGTAACCTGTTCAAGTGCTTCACTACCCTCCTGGTGATCTAATCTAAACCTCCCTTGCTGCAACTTGAGACCGTTGCTCCTTGTTCTGTCATCTGCCACCCCTGAGAACAGTTCAGCTCCATCCTCCTTGGACCCACCCTTCAGGGACTTGAAGGCTTTATTAAATCTCCCCTCAATCTTTTCTCCAGACTAAACAAGTCCAATTCCCACAGTCTCTCATTAGTCCTGTTTCCCAGCCCTCTAACCATTTTCATTGCCGTCCTCTGGGCTCGCTCCAATTTGTCCATATCCTTTCTGTGGTAGGGGTCCAACACTGGACACAGGACTCCAGCACCTTTCATAATGCAGCAGAATGCTATCCACTGCTTTAAGTATTGCAATGAAGTGCTCAGATTGGGGGAAAAAATTAGGAGAATCTCTCTGATCCTGGGCCCAAGTGCATCTTGGAACAAATACATTATGGATTAAGGCCACTGACTCTACTCTCCCATCCTCCTCAGTTCCACCTGCTCTCTTCCTTACATGGCTCTGTCTTGCTCCTCAGAGAAGCCTGCGTGCCCCCTCCCTCCCCCCTCGACCTTGCTCCTTGTGCCAAGGCCCTTCCGCAGGAAGCCCTGGCACAGGGAAACTTACTCAACCCTGGCATCCTGTGTGTGTAAAGCTGGAAGTGGAGTGACCTGTCAGAAAAGCATTTTTCCCACCCTGAGCCGTGGGCATCTGAGTCACTCTGCCCTGCTCTCTGCAGCCCCGGGCCTAATGATGGACCTGCCTGGACTCTTACAGGAAGGGAAACGCCACATGGCTGGGGTGGGGGGTCATCTGCAAGGGCTGAGGCAGCTAGTGCTGACTTGGTGCTGCACTCCCACATGCCTGCTGCTCCAGAGATGATGCCAGCCTCCTGCTGGGCAGGCTTTTCACTGGCAGGGTTCCCCCCCCCCCAGCCTGGTTTCAGTTCCATGCTGGCCTCTATCCCAGCCTGCTCCTCTGCAGTGCCTGCCATCCCGGGGCCTCTCCGTCCCAGCCTCTCTTCTTCCCCCAGCAGCAGCTATGCCGAACTATTGCTCATTAACCTTTTCCTTTGGCTGGGACATAGATCTCGCCTGCTCGCTGCTGGACACAACACAGCTGTGCTGCCAGGGGAGATGCAACCAGGCAAGCCAGCACAGGATTGCTTGCAGGGGGTCTGCTTGTTCCACCTCAATCCAGATGCACTTGCAGGGAGATGGGTTAGCCTGTGCGTGTGTGCTGGGCCATGCCTTTCATGTTGTTCCATTTACACACGTATATGCATGCTCAGCCTGGTTGCTTTGTGCTATATGCCCACAGAACAGCTGATTTTTTTTCCCCGTCCCACTCCCACCTCACATTGACCCCATCACCTCCCAAGACCTGGCCCGTAACACAGTGCTGGTGTTGTTAAAGAGGCCTGAGCATGAGTAAACTGAATGGTTACAGCTTCATGAGGAATTTCATACTCCTTGGAGTATGAAATGTTTACTCTGCCCTGGAGGCTAGATTTGGACAGAGAGGAAGGATGGCACAGTGGCAGAGCACTAACTTAGAACAAGAGGGTCCTGGGTTCCTGGCCTTGTTCTGCCACAGCCTTACTTTGTGACTATGGGCAAATCATTTAACTTCTCTGTGCCTTGCTTTCCCTTCTATGCAATGAGGAAAGAGCACTGCCTCACCTTGCAGTAGGGCTTGTAAGAGTAAGTACACTGAAGAGTATGAGAGAAACTAACGATGGCAGCTGTATAAGGACATTAGAGTGTTTTTGATCCCTCCATGCTTTTCTCCATGCGGTGTGGCTGGAGAATCCCTGTGTGCACAGAGGGGCAGGAGTGACAAGACTTGACTTGTCTCTATCCTGCTGCCCACCCTCTCTTGTTCATAAGAGAGTAGATCCCAACTGCTTACAACACAGAATTGTACCTAGGGGTTTAAGTGTGATCATATTCCACCCTCCTTGGGTCCCTAAAAAGCCATTAACTCTGTGCAACCTGCTGTCATTTAGCCTTAAAACTAAGTCTCAGAAACACACCAAGGAGGACCTACCTATCTTCTGTGTTTGCAGTTTTTCAGGGACTTGTGCAAGGGGGACAGAATCTCACTTCTTTGGTGAGTAAATCCCTCTAGGATCTCACCCAAAATGTTTGCCCTGGTTCAGGGAGTTGCTGTCAATGTACTGGCTCTGGACTGACGAGGTCACCTGCTCAAGAGCTGCCTACTGCCAAGGGCCTGTTGAGCTGGGCTGACCTTGGGTGTATCACTTAATCTCTGTGCACCTCTCTTTCTCCGCTTGCGCCCTGCAGCTAGGAATCTTTCAGGGGGGCTGTGAGCCGGTCCAGTTGGGAAGGTACTTGGATCCTGCAGTCCAGGGGCTGCATAGCTGGGGAGACAGCTATGTGAGTTGGACCCAACGTGAGATTCTACAACAACCAAAGCACCTTGGGCTTTTCTCTGAGGCTTTTTAATCCAGGCTTGCTCCTCCTCCCCATGCCAGAGGAATGCTACCAGGCCCTCTCCAGCTATAGAAGGCGCCCACTGACACACGAGGAATGTAAATAAAGCAGTGAGTCGGGCAGGGTCTGATCTCTCTCCACCCTGCGTCTTTGGGCAGGGATCAACTACTGGAGGTAAAATTCTACTCCAGGGACAGGACCTCGTAAAACCAGGATCAACTGATTGACTCTGGTGCCAGCTTCATGTGTGCTAGGGCCTCAAGAAACATTCCCCAGTGGGCCTTCAAGGCATGTGGCAGTCTAAATCGGGATGAGGTCAATGTAGGGGACAGATCTTCTGTGGTGTCCCTGGGGGCCTGTGCAGTCTTCTGAAGCCCCTGGCACTGTCTGGACTGGAGTCTTGGCTGTCTAGGCGATGTGCAGCTAAGTTGCACATGGGCACCTAATAGTGAAACAAGATTCGGGCCTCGGAGATGGGGTGATGGATGGGATGAACCATGGGTCTGATCCCATCCCCCTGGCCCTGTGTTCCCATTCTGAGACCTCAGTGCAGGAATAGGCCCAGTGGGGAACAGGCATGTAGGTCTGCCAGCCTGTGGCTGCCCCAGGTGGCTGCATGGAGAGTGGTGCCCTTTGGCTCCTGTGGTATGTACAGCCCTTGGAGAGGGACTTGCTGTCATGCACAGCAGAGGGGCAAAGGACCTGCCTGGGAGCGAGAACTCAGCTGGGCCCCAATTTTGCCTGCTTCCCTCCCTGAAGCTGTGTCCCTCTGAACAGCCTGTCCATGCATGTGGCAGGGGTGGGGCAGGAGGTCCTTTCTGCAGTGCTCACCCCTAGTAGTGCTCCAGGGTGGGACCATGAGTGCCTTGGGGTGTGAGCTGCTAAGAAACCAGTGTACTAACCTATTTCTGAAGGTGCCATGAGCAATGGTGGCCTGCAGGGGGTCATGTCCTCTGGGGGCTAAGACAGACATGCTCTGAGGTGCAGCGGGGCTGCCCCTGGCCCCACCTCCAAGCAGTGACTGCCCAGGCCAGCAACTGGGACACGTGAGGAGGGAGAAATTGGTGTATCTTTGACCCCCCCATCCCACACACATGCACACAAATAATATTTAGCCATGGCAACAGAGCTTCCTGCTGATGTTTCAACAGAAATAGGGACTGAGCAAAAATAAACGCATGGGTTTGGAGGGTTGCTGTATTCCCTGCCCTCGGTGATGGCCAGTCCTATATATACCAGGGTGCTGGGGCAGGAGGACAAATCTTAGGTGACAGGCAGCCTGACCGACAATCAAGGAACAAGCCCTCAATGGCAGGAAGCCAGACTGACATTCAGGCAATGGTCTGATAGGAATGAATTGTTATCTATAGCTCAGCTGCCCCCAGGGAATTGGTAACAGGGATCAGACTGGGGTTCTTAGCCTACGCCAGCCCCTGGGGCCCCTGCTCCAACGAGCTGTGTGTGGAGCTGAGTGTAAATGCCCAGTCACCACGGAAAAGCCTTGTGGGAGTGCTCATGGATCCCTTCATGGTCTGGGCACAGCAAATGCTCAGCATTGCAATAAACAACTCCCCCATCAGTGGGCAGCTGAGTTTGCTCGAGGGCTGCCTGTAGCCAGGTGTTTGCATAGCATGCTGTTGATGTTTATAGTGACCATTGCCTTCTGCCTTCCTGAATCCCCCTGTACACTCAGGGTCCTAATCTGTTGGACTGGGGCAGGTGTTGGTGTGCACTGTGAAGTAACAGCTATGTTCCACACCAGAGGTGGCTGCATTTTGGCAATGAGCAAAATGATCCCTTTTCTGCCTGGGGAGCTTGCAGAGATGTTTGCAAAGCTCTTGGAGAGCCTGGGGTGGAAAGTATGACGAGTAGTGCTGGCCATAAGGACAGAAGCCCTGGGACCCTGACTCCTTTGTGTCTTCCCCAGGCTGCTAGCTGGAGCCCCCCAGGATGTAACTGCTGTGGAGGGGAATGCCACACGGACAGGCGCCATGTACTTCTGCCCACTGAGTGCCTCCAAGACTGACTGCGAGCGGGTGGACATAGAAGAAAAGAGTATGTGAGCACACCCCTCCCCTCAATACTGGACAGGTCTCTGCTTCCCCAGACTCTATCTTGGGCAGCCTGGAAGCTTGGGGGTTAAATCCTCTTCCTCCCTCCCTCCCTCCGCCAGCTTGGGTGGTGCTGTCTCTACTGGTGCTGCAGTATTTACCCTGTGCTGGAGGTGCAGGAAGGGGCCTGTTAACCATTTAAGAGATGAATCCATACTGGGTGAGGGGTGAGCTAGGCTTCCAAAGGGAATGGGAGGGAGCAGCCTTCACTGCAACAGTGTCCCTTCCTCCATCCCCACTGCACCCTGATGCCTGCCTCATAGAGTGCATGGGGTGAGCACCCCTGCGACTGCTTTGTCCTGAATAGGGCCTCCCAGGGCGACAGGAGAATTCATCCCCTGTAGTTGCTTGATTGTGACCTGTACCTGCTGCAGAGGGATGAGGGACTTTGCCCTGTGGGGGGGAGGGGCTGTCTGTTGCTTGGGAGGGGTTTGGGGAGGAAATCTGTCCCCTGATTGCACAGGGAGTGCAAATGGGTGGGCTGGGGTCTCTGCTCTCTTGTCAAGTGTCTGTTGCCCTGTGTGTGCAGGTGTGCCACAGAAGAACATCATTGAAGACATGTGGCTGGGGGTGACCATTGCCAGCCAGAGAGAGCAATCCGGGAGGGGGAGAGTGCTGGTGAGTGCAACATGCTGAGGTAGCAGGTGTACATAGAAAAGTAGGTCTCAAGTATTGTACTGAGAGCCCTGTTCACCATTGTCCAGCAGCTAGCATGGCCTGTGCCTTGTTGCAAAGTGGATGGGGAACTAGGGGCAATCGGGTTGTGTTGTTTACACTAGGGTACATACACTTTATTTGCACCTTGCAGGGCAGTGGGGAAATAGACCCATGTCCTGGTGTCAGAGCTAGGGAGATAAGCCCACTGCCATGGGCATCCTGGGGGCATTCCCACCTGCCTGTGAAACGAAACACCACCCAGTCACTCGCTCTTTGCACTTTGTGCTTGCCTTATATAGGTGTAACTGCTGAGATATGGGGCAAGGCAGCACAGGATCCAACCCCAGAGTGTCAGGACTCCTGGATTCCTGAGTTTAGCTTGCTACACAATCAGTCAAATCACTTACCACAGTTTGCCATTCTCTGAAATGGGGATAACATTCCTGGCAGAACCAGATGGGGTTGTGGGTCATGAGACTAAATTAATCAATGGGTGAGAGTTTATTAGTAAGCAGGCAAGACACTAGAACAGAGCAGAATGCAGTGGCACTGAGACTGAGCCCAAGGTGACTACAAGTCCCAGTGTGCCATGCTCCAGCTTCCCCTGATTGGCTACCTCCTGGCTCATGGTGGAACATAGTATGCTGGGAGCTATTGGCTTTTTGGGTGAGGGGGTGGTGGTGAAGGCAGACAGGTTCTGCATGGTGGGGGAAGTATCTGGTTGCCTCTTTAAACGGGATGTCATGAAACACAGAGTCTGCTCCTAAATTGCAAAGGCAGCTGGGAAGAAACCAAGGGAGAGAGCAACAACCGCAGTGGCAGCAGTTCAGTCCGTGGGAAAGGCAGTGAAGCAATCCAGAGCTGGAAGGGAGCATGGCCCTGGGGGAGCTAAGAGGATTTGGCTTAACCACTGCAACTTGGCGGAGGGCATTGGCTGCAGAGCTCTCCCAGGACTCTCTCCCCCAATCCCGTCACCCATCACCGTGGTATCTGGACAACACAAGAGTCCATGGGCTGCGTCCTCCATCACCCTGTGCCTCGTGCAGTCATTTACACATGTGCAAACAGTTCCCATTTTAGTAATATTTCAATCTGGTGGAAATGGAGGCCTGAGGTGCAGAGCCCAGCAGCCACCTCCTCCTCTGCTTCTCCGTGTTCCTGTTGCCTGCTTTGCAGGGGAATGCTGGAGCCACAGAATTTTGCTCTCCTTCCCCCACTTGCCCTGAGCTCTTGCATCATCCCAGGCCGACTCAGCCTGGCAGAGAGTCTTTTTCCTGACCCAGGCTTCTTTTTTTTAAACACATTTGCTGCTGGAGGGATGGCCTGTGCCCTATCCCTAGAGGGCCAGGTTTACTACTGGGGTAATTTTGGGTCTTTCTCTGAAGTCAGCCCAGAGAGCTGGGATGGGGCCCACTGCAGAGAAGGTGAATTGCACACAGGAAAGGGCACCTCTCGCCTGCTCTTTGGAGTGCATGGGGTGGGTGTGTCTGGGCATCTGGTCTCCAGCCCTTCGACTGAGCTTGCCACTAATATGTCTGCAACGTCACACCCCTACTGGGCTGCTGAGGGCTATACACACATCAGGACATCCCTCTCTGGTTGCACACCTCTTTGCTTGGGCATGGTGCCATCATAGGATCATAGAAAAATAGGACTGGTAGGGCCTCCAGAGAGCCATCTGATCCTCACCCTGCTCCAGGCAGGGTCAGCATCATCTAAACCAGCCCAGCCAAGGGTTTGTCCATCCTGCTCTTAAACACTGATGGAGATTCTACAGCTTCTCTTCTCTCATTAGTGGTGGTGAGCAAACAGCAGATGGGTACCTCCAGATTGTCCCCAGGCTCTCAGTGCTGGCCCCTGTGACCTTCTGGCCTCAACCTATTCTGGGTCCCAGACCAGTGAGAGATCACAGGCTCAGGCACTGTGCAAGCCCTCATGATAAATGGGTCTCCATGCTCCAGGGCATGGGGTGATGACCATCTGGGGTCAGGCATGTGGGACCTGCCTTGCCCAAGGGCACAGCATTGCTTTTTCACAAGTTTTACACCCACCTGCTAAGCATCCAAGCAATGGATGCTCAATAAGAGGGTGGTGTTTGGCTTGGAGGCTCTGATCAGAGAGGCAAGAGAAACTGCTGGTCTGAGTTCCTGCAGTCCTGGGGTGGTGGAGGCAATGTAGGCTGTAGGCTTGTGCCAGCGCGGGGAGGACACAGAAGGTGGTGGATGCTCTACTCTGATATGTTAGGATCGGGGTGGGGATCCAGAGGAGAAGGACCTTGGTGTAGTCTAGTGCAGTAGGGACAGGATATCAGGGTTACATGGACTGGTGTTGCTTGGGATACCAGGGCATAGAGAACCCTGCTCAGGCTGGGATGCGGCAGGAGAGGGATTTTAAGAGTGCTGCTGTAGCCAGCAGGGGCAGAAAGGCCATATTGGGGCATATGGACTGCTGCTGAAGGCAGGTGTAGCAGAACTGAGGTGCTTGAGGTTACATGAATTGCAGTGAAATGGGAAGGCAATATCGGTGTGCATGGACCATGGCTCAGGGTGGCTGCAGCAGGAGGCAGCAGGCACTGGGCTCAGCGGGGTGACCCTGGTGGGGCAGAGTGCCTGTCTATGGCTGCTCAGTGCCCACGGCCTGCTGGGCACTGACATGGTGCCCCCTGGCTGCCAGGCCTGCGCTCACCGCTACACCGAAGTGCTTTGGGCAGGCAGCGAGGACCAGCGGCGCATGGTGGGGAAGTGCTACGTGCGAGGCAATGACCTGAAGCTGCAGCTGGGTGACGACTGGCAGACGTACCACAACGAGATGTGCAACTCCAACACTGATGCTGAGGAGACTGGCATGTGCCAGATGGGCACCAGCGGTGGCTTCACCACCAACACCGTCTACTTTGGGGCACCTGGTGCCTACAACTGGCAAGGTCTGTGCCCTGCCCAACCCCCTGCTGGAGTGTAGCCATCCCTAGTGCTCATCTGGTGTTGCTGCAGCTGCCCGAGGGATATTTTGCTGCTGACACCGGCACCCTTGGGAGCCTCCCTGCTGGGTGGGTGGGCTGGGTTCAGGGCTGGGGTGTAGGGTGAGTCTGGACCACACAGGCTGGGGGAAGGGAGAAGAGCCTGGGCTCTGGGGCTGTGGAGTGAGCCCTGGCAGGGAGGCTGTTAGCAATGAAATCTTTGTGAGAGATCCCATCCCCCTCCCAATCCCTCTCCGTGTCCCCACTTGGGCAGTGCCCGTCTCTGGCTCCAGCTTGCTGTTTTTTCCTTCCCGGCTGCAGGGACTAACTACATGCTGCAGCGAGAGAGCTGGGAGCTGTCTGACTTCTTGTACCCGAATCACAAGAATGGCAACATCTACATAGGTAATGACAGCTGCTTCACCTGCATCTGGGAGCAACATCCCTCCCTGCTAGCATGATATGGGAGAGTGGGCTGCAGAGAGAGCAGGTACCTGGGCCCTAGAAGGCCTGGGTTCCAATCCCAGCTCTGCCACTTTTCCCTGTAGGGCTCCTGGACAAGTCATATGACTACTCTGTGCCTCAGTTTCCCCTTGGGCTCCTCTCGGCCCTCTCTTCCACATGGTCCTTGCAGGCTACATATATCTAGGCCTTTCCCTTGCCCCCATGAGTCATGTCTTGGGGTCCAGACTACTGAGATGTCTGAGCCAGGGCTGTGAGCTTTTCTGGCAGGAGCTGAAGGGGATTTCTCAAAAGAATCCACTTCTCCACTCACGCTGGCTCCTCTTCTGGCATGCACTGCTATAGGGACTAGTAATGCATGAGCTGCTTAAACCCAGGCTGCTTGCCGAGTCTGTGGGGCCTGCACCCTGAGCAGGAAATGTCCTCAGGGGCCCTTCTCTGGGGAGCTGCCCCTGGGCCAGGAGGATTCTGGGAATGGAGCCTCTCAGTGGGGTATGTAAACCATGAGTTTGTCAGGCTACAGCCCAGTCCACAGTTTCTGCATCGCTTAAGCTATATGTGCTAATGCTCCCTTTTGCTATCAGCTTCTGTGGGGAAGACAGAGCTGGCCTGGGTCCAGCCTGCTTGCAGTGACAGGGTCAGGATGAGAAGGGGTCAGCAAAGGTGTTGCTTACAAGTCCTTAGTGGGGGCACCAGGGGTCTGGTCCAAAGCCTATTTTAAGCCCTCCCACCCAGCTTTGGCGCTCAGCCCCACACGTCCTGTGTCTCCATATGGTTCCACATGTGTTTGGGACCAGCTCTGGCAGCCCCATACAAAAGGCCGGGCCCTCATCTGTAGCTTCAAGTAATGTGGCCCCTTGCAAATGCACTTGTGATGCCTCCTGGGAGGACTCTACAGGTTCTGAGACCTCTTCCCTGCTCCCTACTCCACCCTACGGGGCTTGCTCATGCCTCCAGGCTATACCGTCCAAGTCAGCAGTGCCGTGCTGCACAAGGGAGACCTCACCATCATCTCGGGGGCACCCCGCTACCAACACACCGGTGCTGTGTACCTGATGACCAACCGCTTCAGGAGCAACCTGGAAAAGAGCCTCATGCTGGTTGGGGAGCAGGTGGGCTCCTATTTTGGGAGTGCCATCGCCCTAGCCGACCTCGACAACAACGGGTGAGATGCCAAGAGGCCACTGGTGATGGGGAGGCCACCTGGCAGTTGCTCTGTAGAGCACAGCGGGGGGAAGGGAGGGAGGGGATGACAAGACTTTGGGGTTTCCTGAGCTGTGAAGAGTGTTTCTGTGGCTCCCAGCTTTGAGAGGTCTCTAGCTTTGAGGCCTGGTTTTTATACCTTTGTAGACTTTGGGGTCTTCCCAGCTTTCAACCTCCTCTGACTCGCTGCATTGTAGCCTCCTCCACCCCCCTAGCTTTCCCATTGGTCCCAGCCCCACGCTCACCCTCCCTGAGCCCAGCTTTGCCTTGTCCCCCCGCAGCTGGCAGGACTTGGTGATCGGTGCCCCATACTACTTCGAGCGGAAGCAGGAGGTGGGGGGCGCTGTCTACGTGTACATGAACGAGGCTGGCAGCTTCCAAAACCAGTCCAGCCAGATCTTGAAAGGCCCCAGTAACTCCGCCTTTGGTTTTGCCGTGGCCAACATCGGGGACATCAACCAGGATGGCTTTGAGGGTGGGTGACGCTTTCTCTTGGGGCTCCTGGGACAGGTATCTGTCACCCAGGGAGCGTGGGAGGCATCTGGGGTGGCGTGGGCTCTGGGGAGGCAGGGGGGTGAATAGGGCTTTGGGAAGGCTCGGGGAGGTGTGGAGTAAGGGGCTGCGGGTGGGTGGGGTGGACTTTGGGAGGTTGGCAGCAGGGTGTGGGGAGCTCTGGTGGTGCCATGGGGTTTAATATGGAGTTTAGGGGATTGGGTGGCATGAGGTGAGGCAGGGTTTAGTGGGGTATGGGTGCACAGGGAGCAGCAGGGCTTGTGGAAAGCTCTGGAAGTCATGTGGGCTTGTCATGGGGCTCAGGGGGCTGAGGCATTGTGTGGGTGCTGCTTGGCATAGGGCTCAGTGTGGAGCATGAGGGCGTACAGGGCTCAGTGTGGGATGTGAGGACTCTGGGGCACATGGGGTTCAATGGGCAGTACAGGGAGCCAGAAGAGCATTGGTCTCTGGGCCACTTCTGCCTGACCTATTGCCTCTTCCACAGACATTGCTGTTGGGGCCCCCTTCGAGGGCTCGGGCAAGGTCTACATCTACCACAGCACTTCTGGGGGCCTTATGGAGCTGCCCCGGCAGGTAAAGATGTCTTGGGCCAGTTCCCCTGAGCCCTACAGAGGGCACTCTGGAGACCACGCTCCCTCCTGAGACCCCTGAGAGGAGCAGTGGCATCTCCAGCCCATGGGAGCTGTGGGTGGTTGGGAATTACCTTCCTGCTGCCCCCAGGTGCACACAGACTCTCCTAGGGCACTAGTCTCAGGACAGGTTGACAATCCTCACCCTGAGGGGAGTCTCGAGAGACAAGGGTAGACCTAGATAGAGGGCCAGGGGACAGCTGCTCAGGGAAAGGGAAGGGAGGAGGCAGGAGATGGGGTGGGGGGTTATGCATGCATGCAGGCGCTGCCCCAAGCCCAGAATGTAGAGAAGGACAGGCCCTGAGGGCAGTTGCCATAGCACCAGTGGGTGATTTCCTCCCACCCCTCTGCCTCCTGCAGGTGATCAGTGGGGCAGACCTGGGCCCTTTCAAGTTTGAGACCTTTGGGTACTCTCTCAGCGGGGGCATGGATGTGGATGGCAATTCCTACCCGGACCTGCTGGTGGGGAGCTTGTCTGAGAAGATTGTTCTGCTCCGGTAAGGGAGATGGGGCTGGGGGTGACAACAGTGGTGCAGACATGGGCAAAGCTGTCCTGACACCATGCTTCCTGCTGGGGGCTGAGCATGGCACCTCCAGCACGCCCACCAGTTGTACCCACTGCACAGCAGGAGGCTGGCATCATTGTTGGACTAGGCCACTAGAGGGAGACGCTCACACAGGTGATACCCTGCAGTGGCACCTCCCCACCAGCCTGCCCCATACAGAGTACCTTGTGGAGCCAACTCTGTCCCCCATTGAGCCTGTGAGTCCTGAAAGCAGTAACGCCCACCCTTCCAGGCACTGTTACACAGGCCCCAGACTGACAGGGGTATCATTCGACCACTGCTGCATTGGAACCAACAATCTCCAAGGGCAAGGCTCCAGGGGTCCTGTGCAGCCCCCTTGCAGGATGGGATGGGGATTGCCCTAGCCCCTGCCTCCTTAAGCCCTCCACTGTGCCCTGGACAGCCCCACAGGCAGAACAAGGGGAGCTGAGCAGCCCTGGGCACTGGTGACTGGAGATTTTAGGGGTCGCTTCTGTGACGGAAACAGCCATCTGGCCCTGATGGTGCTCAGCTGATGCTTTTCTCTCCCTCTGTCCGTCTCTCCCTGTGGCAGAGCTCGTCCCGTGATCAACATCCTGAACAAGACCTTCACAGTGACCCCAAGCCTGGTAGACCCAGCCAAGTGCAACCCCCACTCCTGGTAAGGGCTGCCTCCTCCCATGATTGCCCACCTGGCGGTGGGGTGGTGCCCCAAGGTGCAGCTTTGCATGGTGCTGCCCATGCAGGTCATGGCTAGGGAGGGCCCAGTGGTCCTGAAGCACATGGCAGCTAGGCAGCTCCATGGCTGGTGCCAGAGCAGAAAAGTTTCTGCTGGCTGCTCCCGTCCCTCTGACCCAGTCTCTTTTCTGTCCTTTGCAGCATCCGGGTGCAGATCTGCTTCTCCTACAACCAGAGTGCCGGAGACCCCCGATACAAGGAGCAAATTAGTGAGTGGGTCAGGGAGGGAGGGGGTACTCTGTAGGGGGGAGGGGTTGGTGTGTGTCCATGCATTTAAGTAATAACAACAGTAAGCGTACACTGCAAAATGTGCAGTGGTGTGTGTGCGCAAATGTGCAATATAAGCAATGGGGTGTGTGTAGTGGTGTGTGAAGGTATACATGCAGTGGTGCATGCATGTGTCTATCAGTGTACAGTGGTGTGCAAGCAGGTGTGCAGTGCGTGCTGTGGTGCATGCACACACGATGGCACAGGTGTGTGCAATGCTATGCAGGCACATGTGCAAGATATGTGGTGGTCTGAGTGTGAACATGCACAGAGGTGTGCATGTCTGAGCAGTGGTGAACATGCAGTGAGATGGGTGCCTTGACTTGTGCACACATGTGTATAGTGGTCTGTGTGCAAGCATGGTGTAAACAACACTGTGTGTCTTAGCAGGCATTTGCCACTCTGCAAAGTCAGTGCTGCCTTGCCAACACCATCTCCAGCTCTGCTTTCCCTCTCTCTGCAGATCTGCTCTACACTCTAGAAGCTGATAGGGACAGGCGTCCGACCAGGGTGAGATTTGCTGGGACAAACTCTGCTGTGTACAGGGGCATCTTCTCCTTGCCAGACACCAAGTGCCAGGACCTGGAGCTCCTCCTGCTGGTGAGAAAAGGGTGGTGCAGACCCTGCTTTGCTAAGGCATGGCAGTGGGGCTGGCACAGGTTGCCTGGTCTCTGTGATGCCCTGCTGAGAGCTTGTGGCCAGGCACAAAATGGGCCTGGGAGTAGAGAGCTGGGCTGGGGTGCCCCATGGGCCCAGCACATGGGGTGTATGGGGGTGTGGGAAAGGGGGGTAGGGATCACAGGGGTCATAGCAAGATTCAGAGAGACTCGATGAAGTGAAGGATTGGACCAAAAGAAATCTCATGAGGTTCAATAAAGACAAGTGCAAAGTCTTGTACTTAGGACAGAACAATCCCATGCATCAGAACAGGCTCGGGACTGACTGGCTAAGTAGCAGCTCCTTAGACAAGGACCTGGGGGTTATAGTGGACAATAAGCCGAATATGAGCCAACAGTGTGTCCTTATTGCCAGATGGCTAAATGGCATGCTGGACTGCACTGGTAGGCACGTTGTCAGCAGATTGAGGGAATTGATTCTTCCCCTCTGTTTGTTTGGCACTGATGAGGCCACATTTGGAGTACTGTGTCCAGTTTTGGGCCCCCCACTAGAGAAAGGATGTGGAAAAATTGGAAAGCGTCCAGTGGAGGGCAGCAAAAATGGTTCAGGGTTTGGGGCATATGACTTCTGAGGAGAGGCTGAGGGACTGGGCTTATTTAGTCAGCAGAAGGGAAAAGACTGAGGGGGGATTTAATAGCAGCCTTCAACTACCTAGAGGATGGAACCTGGACTGTTCTCAGTTATGCAGGATGACAGAACAAGGTGCAATAGGGTCAAATTGCAGCAAGAGAAATTTAGGTTAGATATTAGGAAAAACTCTCACCAGAAGGGTTTACAGCACTGGAACAGGTTACCCAGAGAGGTTGTAGAATTTCTATTCTTGGGCTTTTTTAAGACCTGGCTAGACAAAGCCTTGACTGGGATGATCGTGCTAGGATCAGGGGGTTGGATTAGACCTCCTGAGGTCCCTTTCAATCCTCATTTTCTTTGATTCTGTAACCCAGCAGGGCATGGGTTCTTATCTCCCCTCAATTCCATATAGCTGACCAGGTCCATGGGCTGTGAGATCTGCATGCTCTAGGCTGTGGATTCAAGTGTCCAGACTGGTTGTGGTGACCCCAGGTGGCTGCACACCCCCTGATGAGTTTGATGTGCCTCAGACACAGTGGACAGGGAAGCACATGAAGGAGAACTGTCCCCTTGTGGCTGGCAACCAGGGACCCCTGACAGGGGCCGAGTGTGCTGGGAAGGGATCTTGTCAGCCCTGGGGGTGAGGGATGTATGGACGACCTGGCTTCCAGGATGTCCCTGTTGGCAGGCCTGGTTCAGCCTGGGGGGGTGCCCCAGCCAGCATCATGCACTGCCCCCTGCTGTCCACTCTGCAGGAGAACATCCGTGACAAGCTGCACCCCATTGCTCTGCATATGAACTACTCGCTAGACGAGAAGCAACGAAGCTTCCAACTGGGGCTGAATTCCCTCAACGCCTACCCTGTCCTGAATGAGGACCAGCCCCGGGAGAACCACACTGAGGTGAGGCAGCCTGAGTGGGGAGTGGCTGGACAGGGCTGGGCCAGGCAGAGGGGAGCAGAGCCTGCTGGCGCCTGCTCAAAGGACATACCACAGTGTGGGGTGGAAAGGCCTGTGTGGCTGTCATCTGGGCAAGGACAGGGAAGCAGGACTCCTGGGTTCCCTTGCCAGCTCTGATGCTGTGATCGGGGTATGGGCAGGGGACTGAGAGCCAGGATTCTGGGTTCCACATCATGCTCTGACGCTGGCTCTGTGTGAATAGGGGCTGAGCAGCAGACCAGCAGCCAGGACTTGTAGGTTCTGCTCCCATTTCTACATCTCTGACCCTGGGCTAGTCTGACTGTCTCAACCTCTGTGCCTCAGTTTCACCATGTGTAAAACAACAGCAGGAGAACCCTAGAACCCTTTGCCATGGGCTGGAGCCACTGTTGCTCCTGCTGAGGCTTTGGGGGCTCCACTCCGAGGCTTTGCTCTGGCCTGCCACTCTGCAGCAGTGATGAGCCCTGGTATTTGGGTTAAACGGGTCTCGCCGCCCACCTCCTGGATCCATAAACTGCCTGCAGCTTGGCAGACAGCCCAACTTTGCAAGGAGCCCTCAGCAGTGAGGGTGTGAACATGGAAGCCCAGGGGACTAGGATGCATCCTCTTCACCTTGGAGGGTCCCCCAGTGTGGGGTGGGGTAGGAGACATTTCTACCTTTCCCCTTCTCATGCCCCTCCAGATGCCAAGCCTCCCCTGCAGCAGCCCCTTGGCACCCCCTGGTAGCCAAACAGTGCATGGCAGCGGTGTCCTTGGCACTGGTACTTCCTCTCTTACCACCCACTTCCTCTGCTCTGGATAGCGTGCACTGTGTGTGGGAGTGCTGCTCCAGCCTGTTGCTAATAGAAACAGCCCTACTACCCCTGCTGGTCCTGGTGGTGCTGCTGGGGCCAGACTGCAGGAGGATAACAGCTTCCTACTGAGGGTGGGCATTAGAGCTGCTCTGGCTGCAGGGTGCCAGGTGTTGGGGGAGCAATTGGGGGGCTGTGGACTCAGAGCGGGGCAGGGGCTGGAGTCACCAAGCATACCTGCCCGCAGATCAACTTCCAGAAGGAGTGTGGTCTCGACAACAAGTGCAACAGCAACCTACAATTGACGGCCGCCTTTGTTGGTGAGCAGGGCCAAGTGCTGCCCAGGTGAGGATGAAAGAGGTGGGCTCCATAAGGGTCCTGGAGGGGCACAAGGAGTAAGCATTCAAGGGAACCAGCCTCAGGCTGAAGGATGGGGGAGGGGGTCCCAGCATTGTGCCCCCAGCTGGCTCAGGCCTGCTTAACGCCCTGCCCTGGGATGGGGGAGGGGGTCTCTTCCGAGCCTCATCTGTGTGAGGGGTGGGGGTCTCTTTTCCTGTGTGTCACACTTCCACTCCCATCTGACTCTCATCAGAGCAGGATGCAGGCCATTGGCTTGAGGTTGCAGTGAAGTAGGTTTAGACTGGACATCAGAAAAAACTTCTTCATTGCTAGAATAGTGGAACAGACTGCCTAGGGAAGCTGTGGACTCTCCCTTAATGGAGGTGTTCAAGAAGAGGTTGGACAGTCACTGGTTGGGGATGATCTAGGCCCAGCTGTGCCTGTGTTCTGCTATGGCTATTTCACATGCTTCTGGGCTTTGTGGGTTGTAGGATTGGGCTGGAAGGGAATCCATGCCCCTCCTGCCCCTCCATTTCTGCTACTTGTGTTAGGTGTGGGGCTTTTTAAAGCCTTCTTCAGAGGCATTGGATTCTGGCTGCAGCCGAGGCTGGGGATTTTGACTGGGGTGTGCCAGTGCTCCTGCTGTGATTTAAAGCCAGAGATTACTGGCTAAAGTGTCCTGGCCTGCTGCTCAGGGTCAGACCAATTGCCATACTTGGGGTCAGGAAGGAATTTCATCCCATGGTCCGATTGATACAGACTAGGGGTTTTTGCCTTTCTGTGTAGCAAGGGGCCTGGCCATCTGCCTGGGATTCTTTAAGCACATATTTATAACCTTTTATAGAAGCAGGATACAGGTTTTCCTCACTTTATGCGGGTTCTGTATATGCAAATTCACTCTTATGTGATGACCCTTTTTATACCAAAAATTTGTTATATGCAAGATAAATTCACTCTGATGCAACTGGTGTGGTGGAAGCCAGCAGTTAGCAGCTTTGTGTGGTGCATTGTGGGAGTGATGCGCACCAAACTATAGTCACCTATGTGGATCTGTGCTCCTTGCTCGTTGTCTGCGACATGTGTTTCTGTAGTTGCCATCCCCATTATCATAGTGCCCTGTGCTTGTGTACTGTCTGCTGTTGGTGAGTACCAAAATTGTCTAGTAAAAGTGGTAGAAATGGGTCTGGGGGTCAATGCAGTCGAGGTCTTGGAACTTGTCCCTATGTGTTGCATTGTAAAGTGGGTTCCCTTTATGCGAATTCGAGTTATGCGAGGTTTTCCAGGAATGCATGTACAGCATAAAGCAAGGGAAACCTGTATTGACTGCCATGTTTTACCCATGGCAGGTTAGGGTGCTAGGTCTTGTGTTGTGTCAGGGTTGATAGTAGTTTTACAAAGAGGTTAGGTTATGGATTTGTATGGAATAGTTTGGATAGGGATGATTCTGTCATGTAGGAAGTTGGACTAGATGAACTATGGAGGTCCCTTACAGCCCTACTTCTCTGTGATTTCTATGGTAAGCCCAACCCCCAGCCCGCGAGGCCCCTCTTGGCAGGTCTCTGAGGAAGTCCATGCTGATGTTTCTCTGGCACAGGATGAATGGGACCCAGGTGCTACTGTACAGCCGGGACGTCAAGAAGCTGCATCTCAGCGTGGCCATCACCAACACCCCCACTACGAAGGCCAATGGCGAGGATGCCCACGAGGCCCTGCTAAACATTACTGTGCCCCCCACCCTGCTGCCCTCCTCTGTCCGCCCTGTAAGGAGCCATCCCCATCCCCTTTACTGTCCAGCAGAGGCCAGGCCTCACCTCCTGACACTATGTAGGAGAGCAGCATAGACCTGAGCCCCAGGGCAGATGAACCCTCTGTTTGTCTGTCCACCCAAGCTCTGGGCTGATTTCCATGTGGGGTTCAGAGTCATTGCTCTGCTCCACTGATGGGCACCATGCCCAGGCAGGGCTAGGGAAAGCCATGGCTGGGCACATAGTTGCCCTGGTGCTTTGCGAGCAGGCTGTACTGCCAGCTGGGGTTGGTTAACCCAGGGGGAAACCAGGGCTAGGATATGGGGCTGGCTTCCCCTCCCCAGGGGGGAGTATGGTGGGGCAGGGGGCCTTCTCTGGGATGGGGCGTATCACAGTTTGAGTGCTTGGGTGGGGTGTGGGGCACAGGAACAGAGCTGCTGGGGTGTGTGACCTGCTCCCAGGAGAGGGCCAGGGGGCTCTTGAGTGAGGCTGAGCAGCCCTGCTGATGCCTGCTTTCTCCCTTCTGCCACCCCAGAGCGGTGCCTGCACCTTCGAGGAGACAGTGCTGTGTGAGCTGGGCAACCCCTTCAAGAGGAACCAGAAGGTGACTCTGTCTCAGTGGGGATGCCAAGGTCCCTGGGCGTGGGGCAGGAACACAACCAGTGGGGATGACTGAGGGGGTAGGAGTGCACCAGAGTGAGCCCCCTTAGGGGGCAAGGCAGTCTGTGAGTGGCTGCAGGTGTTCTGTGGTCCTGGGATCAAGACCTTGCAGCAGTGCACCCAGGATGGGTGACTGCTGTGTCTGCAGCACGATAGGTACTGCAGGCACCCTCCAGCAGGCAGATGCAAAGATGCTTCTTTGCAGGCCCAGCCCCCTCCTACCCATTCCTATGCCAGCCTGGTAGCATCTGTCCCCTCTGTTCCAGATGGAGCTGATCATCACCTTTGAAGCCATTGGGATCACACTGGACACACGGGAGGTCGTGGTGGAGCTCGAGCTGTCCACGTGAGTCCCCTTGCCAGGATCGGGGGGGAACTGGGTCTGGCTCCAGGGCTGGGGGTGTGGGTTAAACAGTTGTCAGGGTAGAGAAGTAGGAAGCAGTGTCCAGCCTCTCCGCTGTGAAGGATCCATTTCTCACAACATGCTGCCCCATGTGCCCAGGAATGACCTACTGCAGATTGGCAGTTGCCTCTGGGGGAAATGTGACCACAGACCAACAGTGCTTAGTAACACTATACAGTGCTATAGAGTGGGGGTGGCCAATCTACGGCATGGGTGCCACAAGTGGCATGGGCAGACCCTGCATGTGGCACATGGCAGAGCAGGGGGAGGGTGGGGAGGCAGGCAGTATGGCAGCAGGTCAGGCAGGAAGCAGAAAGCAGAGCAGCAAATCAGGCAGGGGAAGGAAATCAAAGTGGTACTTGGGGAGGGCATAGAGCTTAATTTGTAGCACATCTGCCCACAAAGGTTGGCTCCCACTGCTGTAGGAGAACACAGCATCCCACCGACACTGGTGGGATAGTCCCAAAAGGGGCACAAACATGGCAAGGGAACTTTTCTGTTTAGCAGGGGCCAGGACTAACTCTGAATGATGGCCATGCTGGGGCATGAGGGTGGGCACTACCTCAGAACAGAGGGCACCCCTTATTGAGCCCCGCACCTCCCCTTGCAGCACGGCTCTGTTTTGTGAGTGCCAGGTAGGGGTGTCTCAGCCCTTGTACCCGGCAGCAAGAATTGAGGTATAGACCGATGTAACGCGGCCTCTGCCTTGTCTCTGGCAGGCTGAGCTACCAGGAGGACCTGAGGCCAGTGTGGGCTGAGTTGCTGGTTGACTACACCATCCACACATCTCTTGCCGTGTGCGTATCTCCGGGCTTCCC